ACGATGATTGACGGGAACGCCTACAATGATGTCGAGGGCGAATGAAACGACTGCAATCGAGCCCAGGGAGCAAGGACAAACTGCAAGAAATGATGACCCTGACAATGACGGCGACAAGGGAAATGGACCCTGACGGCAACGACGATGAGGAGGGAGAGGACCCTGAGCACAACAACGAGGAGGGGAGGACCCTAACGGCGGCGAGGGCGGGGAGTGGACCCTGACGGCGATGGCAAGAGGGACCCTGACAGTGCCGACGTGGACCCTGGCAGCAATGACGAAGCCATTAGCATGCTGTTCTGTAGTAGTTAGGCTCTGGTAGCTAACTAGCAGACTCGGCAGTTAGGGGAATTGATGCATCAGGTAAATGGTCAGTTAGGGTAATTGATACATAATTCTAGCAGCATAGGCTGGACACCTGAGGTTCTAAGCAATCAAAGTCTAGCCTGGTGAGTTTTGTATATATCTTAATAGCATTTACTCAATCTTCACCCTCAGCGTACCTGCAAGCGTGATGCTGCCTTAAATGCCAAGGTATCAACATTTCTCCTAATCTTCCAGTACGCTGCCATGACTGACCATCTCTTTGTAGTGCCCCACAACACAAGCCATACGCTCAATGGTTCAAAAGTCAAAATCGAAAGTGGGTGCTGCCACAATTGCAAGTGATGACGATGACAAGGCCATCCCCGAAGACAATTGGCCCAAGGCCCTTCAACTGAGGACAGGCACTCTTACCCAGCAGACTGACCTTATCCGGGTAGTCTGTCGCGAGGCCATTCAAATCGTTGAGAAGACTTTGGTTACCGAAAATGCGTGGCCAGAACTCCATAAAGGTACGCTCTACAAACGACAAGTCCTGTTAGAAGTGGTCAAGCTTCTGCACGCCAAGAATACCGAAGACGACAAGGGGAAGCAAGATGCCCAGTACAAGGCACTGACCAACCACCTGTCAATTGACGAAAAGTTCGCCAGGCATATTGGCAAATGGGTACGTGATTTGGTAACCTCTCCATTGAATGCTTTGACGACATCTTTAATATAGGTCGTTGATCATCTATCGCATCACCGCGGACAGATTCGAAGCATGGCTTCGGACCAGATCACAATTTTTCAGCTCGGCGTTGGTGATGGATGTTCACAGCATGTCCATGCGTTGATCGAGAACGATGTGTACGTATATCCTGGGCACTGGGCTGCAGATAAAGATGGCAAGGTGTGTCCTTGTTTCTTCCTTTCCATATATGATCTAACTTTTGTCTTTGAGCCTATCTGGATGGTCAAGAACTCGGTTACCGACATCCAGATTTACCTCAACCCAGGTCTCATCAACCTCATCAAGACTGCTTTCTTCANCGTTCCANCAGGCTTTGGATACAAGTCAAAGAAGTATTATGTTTCGTCGCATCCAACCCTCAAAGATCCTGAGCTGACAATCCCATTGTTGCCCTTGGTGCAACGGCAGTAAGTGCATGCTTTCATTGTTGTCAGGATTATCACTGATACAATAATCCAAGTTCTTTGCTGCACTTTACGAATGGCGAGAAGGCAAGAAGGGCAAGATGAGTGCCGACAGCCAGAAGGCCAAAGCCAAGAAATTTGAAGGAGATAATTTCAAGAAGGTCTTCAATCGCCACATAGATAATTTAACAAAGTTGAAGAAGAAAGTCAACACGTACCACAAGATTATGTCGGAACTTTATGCAAAAGTCACGTAAGTATTTGAATCTCGCTCTCTTTAATCTTGTCCTCAACCTATATCTACAGCGACGGTGACAACACTATGGATACTGGAGCTCTTACTAAAGGTAGCGCATTGGCAGTGTTGGATTTAGATGGGTTGGACTAGTATCTATGGTATACGGACTAGTATCTATGATCTTGGAATATCGTGCAGCAATATAGATATGTAGCTCTTTTGATTGATGACGAAATTCTGTGTGATATCTGAGATTTATTTTCTCATATCGGCCACTTTCTCTGAGCAGATCCACAATTGATGAGTACAAATCAGTCATGATTAGTGAAGAATAAGCACCAATATTTTGGACACTTACCTTATTTGGCTGATTGACCTTATGCAACTTACTCACAACTTATATTGACAGATTTTTTGCATATTCTGGCACACTCTAGCTTATGAACACAGATCAGCAAATGAGGTTTTTCCTGATGTTCTGATAAGAGAGCAAGTCCAATGTTGTAAATTCAACATACTGATATGTATTACCAATGTCAGGGTAGTGTTCCCTTCCTCTCCTGCTCAATTTCAGTTGTTTTCCTGATGTTTTTTTGAGAACTTTGCATCTGTTTATCTACAGCTTCAAACGCGTCATCCAAGTTCACTCTGTTGTATCCATCCACTTGCGAGGGCGCCGTGAATGTAAAACATGAAAAATTGGATTCTGTTCTACTTTAAGAGTACTAAAATGTATATTTTTCATTAGATACAAGTGTAGAGGAGGAATAACCGTGCCTTTTGAAGATCTGGGCACTAGTGGGGAAACTATTTGTACTTGTGTGGCAATGCCTTTGGGAACGTCATCCAGCTGGAACCTGAGCCATCCATCTGAAAAGCTGCTGATTTGAAATACCAAATACATACTATATGATGGAAACCAATTGCAACTGAAGAAATATGGAGTTAGTTCTGTCATTAACTTGATGACACCCTTCAAAGGGCACTTTCATGAATCTCCTCTCAGGAGCTACCTTTGTTGATGTTTGTTTGTTACCCAGAAGGATCAAAGAACAAAAGGTCATCCGGAACATGACTTGTGCATCCATCATCTCCACACCCCTGATTGAGGCGGAAATTTTTTGAAAAAATCGGAAATATATTTCTACATTACTTGGTAGCTTTGGGTAGCTGTAACACAAGTTTTTGATGGAGAAAACTGAGAATCATTACAATTGGAATATTCTGGTGAAATGCAGCTTTTTTAGAAGAATTATGACATGGAAAAACATATGTGGATGCTCTTTGAAAAACATACACAGAATACAAGAAAACATACCAGTCAACAATGCTGATCCAGGATGTACCATTTCTAAGAATTTTCAATCATAAGACATATCTGAGCTATATTTAGATCTGTCCAACCCTAGAAAAAACATATTTGAATGCTCTTTAGGCAAAAAGAAAACATCCACAGAATACAGGAAAACATACCGGTCATCAATGCTGATCCAGGATGAGATTTTTGAATCATCAAACATATCTGAGTTATATTTAGATTTGTAATAAATTACAAACATTCTGGATCTCAAGAAAAAACATATCTGGATGCTAAAACATACAGAAAACATATCAGTGATCCAGAATATCCCATTTCTGAGAATTTTTTATCATGAAACACATGTAAGCTATATTTAGATTTGTAATAAATCACAAACATATCAGACTAAAAATAGATGCTGTAGAACGATATTATAAGCAGAAAACATATTCTGGGGGTATATTTTATTATAGGTGCAAAGGCTTTTTTTCAAATATTCCAATGTTCCACAACCCATGGCATTTTGGCCAAGTGGCCAATTGCACACCCTATGGAAATGAATAAGGTGGAACATTCCAGGTCAATTTGGTCTAAAACTACAGCCTGGGCTGAGATATGGTCTACAATTATGCAGTTAGCTGTAACACTTTCCTGGGATTGGACACAGAGCTTGCAGGATCAGAAAGTGCAGGAAATTTTACCTCAGCCAGAGATCGAACACAAGGGTTCAGGAATTGGGCACACCACACATTATACACAGAAAGCAGCCCATTAGACCATTACACCACATGTCTTTAGAGAACAGTGAGGCAAATTTCACTACATAATATCGGAACACACTTGGGCAGAGTAATATCAAGAAAGAGCCACCCATGCGAATGCACGGGTATCGGCTAGTATATATAAAAGAGGAAATATGATTGGATATGACCAAAGAGTAGGAGGAATCAAGATAAGAATGACAATACAACTAGGGGTCCATGTAATGGGTCTCTGGGGGAGTGGTCACATGACCAATTTCCTAAAATGGTCAAAATCCAAAGTTGTAGCCCTGCTCTGTAGCTTCCAGAATCTGTTTGAATTATGTTCTAAAGTGTACCTGTTGTGGAGATATGAGGCAAAAGATTTTTCTCACCACCAGACCCAAGAACTCACTGGCATTTTTTAAGGCTGTCATTTTCGCCTTCCTTGGTCCTAATACAGGTGAGAAATTGGTGTCTCGTTGACTGTGCAGGCTGATCTTACCTTCTCCTTCCGCGATTAGTCGATGATCCTCTTCTTCCTTCTGCAACCGCGTATTATTTCATTTTTGCTGACGCACTTCCCCATCAATGAGAGTATCATCCTCCATTGTTAGGGTTATTCGAGTGCTGGATGTTGCAGTCGAGGACCTACAGCAGAAGCATGTACAATGGGAGATGGATGGGGGGAGATGGATGGTTGTGTGTTTGTTGGTACTGTTTGTTGGTACTGTATAGTTTGGCAACAACGTCTTTTACTTCTGCGGCTGACTGCCAAACATTCCTTCTACAAGCTGTTAAGTCCGCATTCCCCACTAAAATGTCCTCAGAAACAACTACGTGTCCTGGCTGCGACCACCTTTTTTCACTCCGAGGTTATCAACACCATCTAGCTCTCACAAAAGACCCTCTTTGCCGTGCCATTTTCGACAAACTTAAGAAAGCAAATGATGCTTACGAACTGCTCATGAGTGCTGGAGGGCAATCAAGTTCAGGTGCAGGCCCAGACACAGACGCCATGCCGTTCCAAGGCAACGCTTTTGGAACTGCTGAAGACTATGCATCCGATCTGTTCAGACAGGACAACAGAGTC